GCTCACCTGCTCACCCTCCAGGACAGCGCGGGCCCACTCATGGGCTTTGTACAGCTCATGCCGGCGGTCTGGCTTCTCCTGAAACCGGGGCTCCTTTTTGGCAGGATCATCATCCCCAAAACAGGGAGACTGTACTTTGGGGACAAGTTTGACATCGTCAACGAAGATGAAAGGCTTGAATATGGACCTGGGGAGAAAGGAGAGGTGTTTCAATCACACTGAGTCAGGGCTTGGGGACACCAGAGATTGCCCTTTGGATGAGTGAACATGTCCTAAGCCCACTCAGGATGGGTGGTGGTGGGGTGCATGCTTTAGTGAAGCAGCTGCCATTTACAAGCTGCAAATTCATCTATTTACAGTGAGGAGACATCAAAACAGACTTGTTTTGTTCTGGGAAGACCATTTGAGAGGCTCTTTTCAGTTATGTAAAGTAAGGCAAGCAGACACGTGGTGTTTTGAGGAAAGGGGGCAGTGAGCCAACTCTTTGCCTCTCTCTCTGGCATCATTTGTTGGAAAGTGACATGGATCTGGGCCCAGGGGGAGTCCCCGTTATCCTTTCCCATTGGTTTTGTCCCTCAGAAGACTCGCCTAGAAACATTCTGCACCACAGGCATGCAGATAAGGGAGGCCAGGGAGTTTCTCCCTGGGGTACACACCCAAGAGTCCTGGGTAGACAAAGAAATGCCTTTTGTTAACCTGAAAGAAACTGTTACTGAATAAAACAGTAAGATTTCAAAAGACTTTGCTTTTCCCCCAAAACTGAGCACTGTGAGTGCATCTTTCAAAGCCTGGTGAACTCGTCCTGCGAAAGGCTAAGGAGTCCATTGTCACTGAAACACAATAATAGCAGCTTAAAATCCACACTTAGTCAGACATTCAAACAACAGGCTAATGGGATACATGTTACATTGCAAAGGAAGGAGACCTACAGTGCAGAAGAAGGGGACATTTTGAGATTCAAGGCAGAACACAAATGAACAGTTCAATTTGGCTTTAGAAAAAGAGACCACATCTGAACTTTCTCATTTTACTCAAACAGGAGAGTGGTTTGTCTTGCTGGTAACTTAGTAAGGTGGGAAAGTTAAATAAGAAGAGGAAAAGGAATGCTTACTTCACTTAAAGAACTTAATCTCCGTGTCAACACAGTCATAAAAAAGATCCCCCACTTCGGTGGGGTCCAGGGGGTCCGAGCTGGTCAGGATCTCGTCCATGGCTTCCAAGCCTTGCTTCTCTAGTTCCAGCATGGTCTTCCTCAGCTTGTGACCTTGCTCCTGAGGAAAGACAAAAATGTGGAGGTCATGGCAAGGGGCCCTGGGGCCCCACCCATTGCATGCAATCTGTTCCCGCAGGAGAGCCACGGGGATCCTAGAATGCTAATATGGCTGTTGCCACTCTGCTTTTAAAATGCCCGTGCAGCTAGTCCATTGTCTTCAGATTCCTGAGTGGCATTCAGGAAAGCTGCTTTGTAACATGAGCTGTTGCAGGCCTCATCTCTTGTCATGCCCTGTCGCCCTTCTTTTGAAGCTCAGTAATTGCACTCCTCCAACCCATGATTCTCCTCCCCACTGCAAGGCAACCCGTCTGTCTACATGGCCTGACCCTCCATCAATACCTGTTCAGCTGGCACGCACAGTGGGAGCTCCCTGAAGCCGTGTCTCTGGGCTGCAACAGTACAATACCATGCTTGTTCTTTCCCAAGCTAGTAAGGGTTTGTCCCTTTGCCTCTGTGCCCATTAGACTGTGGTTCCTGGGGAGTGGGATCAAGGCTTAAGGCTTATCTCTGTCTTCCTATGCCTGGCACATAATAGGCACTGCTCATAAATGTTTGTTAAATGACTAAACATATTCAAGAACAATCACATGCTATATCTATCCCTGCTTTACTTTTTTTCTGAGGTGGCAAGATTGCCTCTTCCAAGTAAAAATCATTCATTTACAACAGATGACAATGAGAAGTTCTCATTTGCCCTTTTCACCTCAGAATGAAAAAGCTGCTCTCACCGCCACCTACCACTGTCTAACATAGCTTTGTCTCAAAGCAATGATCACGTTTCAAAGTTTACTGGAACTCATCGGTCTCCAGTCTTCAAAATGTTAAGTAAAACCACTCAGAACACAACGTCCTTGATCTCCCACTGCTTCCTACTTGCCAAAGAGCCATAAAACCAAGCACAAGGAGTGACTTTTTTTTAATCTTTTTAAAAATCTTTTTATTTATTTATGCATACAGAAATCAGGTACAGGCCAGAGAAGCAGGAGCGTGAGAGGATTCACCAGAGACAGAGTGGGGAGCAGAACAGGCAGACTGACAAAGTACACTGCTGAGGGGAGCGATGGGTGAGACAGGAGAGATCTGCCACACCAGATGGATCACCTCAGGGATGGGGACCAAACTCCCACTGAAGTGACCATGGCTTGGCTTATCTTCCCAGTGCAGCGCTCCAACCCACTGCGCCACCAGGGAGGGCCAGGAGTGACATTTTTACTCTACTTGGGGCTTACTGTCATCCACCTAGAAAACCAGAACTGATAAGGACTCATCTGAACAGCCCTGGAGAAAATTCATTGTAGTGTGGCTCAGTAATCACAGTCCCAGGGAAGAGTCTGGCCACTTTACTTACAAGGGGTTTATCCCCATGGTAAACTGAACCTACAACACACTGTTGATAAAGTGCCTGCGAAGGAGATGAGCCTCCAATAACTTTGCTTCTACCTTTAGCAAAACAAAAGGTTGGATTTTATAGGATCAACCATCACTATGGGCACATTTTGGGCACAAAGGAACACAGAGTGGATATTTCTCAGGCCTGAATTCATAGAACTTTATTAACCAAAACTTTGGAAGGAGAGAGGGGTTGCATGTTGAATATTTTTTTAAGAACTTGAGAACCTTAAAAAAAAAAAAAAAAAAAGATGGTGGCAAAATATTCATGCAATAACATGCACCCCCTAAGCCACTTTTAAGTAAACAATGCAGTGGCATTATGTACATTCACACTGCTGTGTGAATACCAACCACCTCTGGAGTTTTCTGAAGAATCACTTTTTTAAAAAACAAGATTGCACCTTTAAATAAAAGCTTGCTATCACCTACAACACAAAGAATTTTAGACAACAGAAAAGCAGTATCCATACTAGAGTACACATTTCTGTCAGTTATAGGTAAATGAAAGATGCTTAGCCCACTGAGTTCTAGAATAACAGCAAAAGTGGACGCTTTGGTCTCAGGAGCGTGTAGGGGGCATGAACAGTGTCATTCTGGAAAGGGCCTTGGGAACCTGCATTTCTGGGAGGAGTCATTCTGGAGAGACATATGATGGTAAGCTGTCAGCTGCCTCCCTCCTGACCACACCCCCATGGGTTGGTTGGCCCGGCTCACCTGCTCACCCTCCAGGACAGCGCGGGCCCACTCATGGGCTTTGTACAGCTCATGCCGGCGGTCTGGCTTCTCCTGAAACCGGGGCTCCT